GTATTGCAATTATGTCATGTATTCCTAAAATGTTTGAAGCAATTGTTAACCAAAAAATATTTAACCAGGTTAAGCATCGCATTTCAAATAATCAACATGGTTTTTTTAAAGGTCGGTCAACGTCTACTAATCTTTTGGAATTTGTAAACTTTTCTATTGAAGCAATGGATAGAGGCAATACGGTTGAAACCTTATACACTGATTTTAGTAAGGCCTTTGACAGAGTAGACATTCCCTTACTTCTTTTTAAATTAAAACGTTTAGGTATGACAAGTACACTTTTAAAATGGATTGGATCATACTTGACAGAAAGAACACAGATGGTCCGCTTTAAAGGAAAAATATCTTCGCCAGTTAATGTTACCTCGGGAGTTCCACAGGGATCTCATTTAGGTCCTTTATTATTTATTTTATTTGTGGATGACGTGAAGTTTGTGTTAAATCGTTTAAAGGTGCTCATATATGCTGACGATATGAAACTGTACATGGAAATCTTTGACAATTCTGATTTGCTACATTTTCAAAATGAAATTGATGTTTTCTACAATTGGTGCGTTAAAAGTCTGTTGGACATTAATATAAAAAAATGCAATATTTTATCTTATTCCAGAAAACACACTACTCTAGATTTTACATGTACTCTGGGAAACCAGCTGGTTCTAAGGTGCGATAAAATCAGGGACTTAGGAGTAAATTCTATAGACTTGAAGTTGACATTTGTAGATCATGTGAATACCACAATTCACAAAGCAAATAATATGTTGGGATTCATAAAAAGATTTAGTTATCATTTTAAAGACCCATATACCATCAAAACACTTTATATAGCTTGCGTGAGATCAATTCTCTAATATTGCAGTGTGGTTTGGGCTCCATACCATGAAACTTATATAAATCGTATGGAATCAGTTCAAAAACAGTTTTTGTTATTTGCTCTTAGGAAACTAGGCTGGACCTCTTTTCCCCTTCCTTCTTATGAGTCCCGTTGCATGTTGATAAACATTGAAACACTTAAGAAACGAAGAGAAATTTCCATGATTTCCTTTGTCAATGATATTATCTCACAACGCGTAAATTCAGAAAACATATTAGCAAGCTTAAATTTTTACGTACCATCACGCATGTTAAGAACTCGAAATGCATTTCAACTGTCACCTCACAGAACGAATTATGGTAAAAATGGACCAATCAACAGAATGATGAGAGTTTATAATAATTATTGTGAGCGTATAGATCTAACGATGTCTAAAGATACAGTAAGGAGAACACTAACTGCTAGGCTTTCATCTCGTTATGTTTAGACAATTTTTATTTCTTAGATATTTGTACATGTAATTTACCTTTATTGACAATTTCAAATAAAACGTTTGAATTTAAATAGCATGTAAGGCAACAGAACTATTGTAAAACGGTCTACACTGATTGACGACAAATAAATAAATAAATTGGATTTGTGGTTTTCACCACAATTTGAACAGTTAAATTTCTTAGGATCTTCCCTCGGATCTTCCTTCACAGGACAGTCGTCCTTTGCGTGAGAGGAATCACCACAATTCATACATTTAGCTGGCATGTAGCAATTTGTAGTTCCGTGACCCCATCCCTGGCACTTACGGCACTGAGTGAGGTTTTGGAAATTTCCTACAGTCTTCTTGAAGTGTTCCCACTTCACTCGGACATCGAGCATAAGGCTAGCTTTTTCTAAGGCCTTAAGGTTGTTTAGTTCACTAGACTTGAAGCACAAACGAAGTGACAGACGGAGCGGCTCGAAAACTTTGGTGACTAACCTGCTATTGCAATTTTTCAGTGTACCACATGGCAACACCACTACTACTGGATTGTACCACATGGCAACCAAATGTATTAGAATGTTTTGGTTCTATCTCTTTCACTCTACTCAAAACTGAAATGCATAAAAAAGTTACAAAATGATACACTCTTTGCACACTGTCAAAGAATCATTGTACACAAAATCAACTTTGTTCAAATCAAAACAAAAAAACTAACCCATCTGGTGGATGATGTCACAAGCTTTTACGAAAATTCTATTACAGCGAACCACATTATTTTAATTGATTTCTTCGCCAGCTAGTCGTCTGTCGCTTCGTTTGTGCTTGAAGTGAACTAAATAAAAATCATTACAAATCCCGTTGCGCGAATCGCCAGGACGGGATTTCATTTTCATTTTGATTACTTGGAGCGGCACAACTCCAAGTAATTTTTCCAGTTCAACTTTGGTCTGATCCAGGGATTCACCACTGGGCAGTCCTTTCATGACAACCTTGAACACACGTTCAGTTTTGGTCTCGTAAGTAAGACATTTAAATCCGTTCAAGGTTTCAGCCAATACACGGCATTTACCGAGGCATTCACCCCGACGTCCAATTTGTAGTGAAAACTTAACTTTCACGAAGTTCAAAAATTCCATGCGAAAAGCATGAAAATCGGAAGTCGTTATCACAATAGGGGGAACTTTTCCTTCTTGGCATTAATACCATAGAGGTAACTCTAAGACCACTGGGTCCCGAAGAAAATCATTATTATTTTTGGCTCACTCAGTACCAGAACAACGGTCCCAAGCAGTCCCAAGCTATTTCACTCACCCCTGCATGTTCTGCATGAATCCACACACCCCTGATGTTATCTGTCAAACTTTCATAGCGAATCAAAACAAACATAGTGTAGTAATAGAATTTCAACTAGAATAGGGTACGTTAATCGTTTGCTTGGGACCAATAGGCTAGTCAAGTAGTGAGCCAATTTAAAATCGTTAGTTTCGTATTGATTGTTGTTAATACCTTGTACCACAAACGAAGTGACAGACGACTAACTGACGAAGAAATCAATTAAAATAATGTGGTTCGCTGTAATAGAATTTTCTTAGAAGCTTGTGCCATCAGCCACTAGATGGGCTAGTATTTTTGTTTTGATATGAACATAGTTGATTTTGTGTGCAATGTGATCTTTGACAGTGTGCAAAGAGTGTATCATCACAAACGAAGTGACAGACGGAGCGGCTCGAAAACTTTGGTGACTACCCTAATAAACGGGTACCATACACTAACGATATCATAGATGGTGCGAGCATCCCACATAAAGTTGGGATGATATCCCGAATTGGTGGTTAGGCGCTTCTTATGGTTATTGTTTATGCGGGTAACCTGCGATTTCAATTTTTCAGTGTACCACATGGCAACACCACTACTACTGGATTGTACCACATGGCAACCCTACTACTGGATTGTACTAGCATTTTCACCAAATGTATTAGAATGTTTTGGTTCTATCTCTTTCACTCTACTCAAAACTGAAATGCATAAAAAAGTTACAAAATGATACACTCAACTTTGTTCAAATCAAAACAAAAAAACTAACCCATCTGGTGGATGATGGCTCAAGCTTTTAAGAAAATTCTATTACAGCGAACCACATTATTGGCAAATCAAAGTTAGCACTCGTGGAGAATAGAAGAACTATGAAAGTGATGATGGTTTCAAAAATTTTCACTGGGAGGTATACGAGTGCAATGTTAAAATGCTTTTATTTTGCAAATGAAGCATTTTATTTAAATCTGGTTGCTGCTACAGTTGTAGAAAAGCTGAAATCTATGTATAGACCTTAAAATCTGAAAAGAAATTATTATTTTTATATTATATGTTTATTGAGTAGTCCTCCAGTTTTCTACTAACGTAGCACTAACCAGATTTAAATAAAATGCTCCATTTGCAAAATAAAAGCATTTTAAAATTGCACTCGTATACCTCTCCGTGGAAAATTTTGAAACCATCATCACTTTCATAGTTCGTCTATTCTCCACGAGTGCCAACTTTGATTTGCCAATTTTAATTGATTTCTTCGCCAGTTAGTCGTCTGTCACTTCGTTTGTGATTTTAATTGGCAAATCAAAGTTGGCACTCGTGGACAGGCATGGAAAATCATTTGCATTCATTTAGTGCATTCATTTACATTCATTTGCCCCTAACTTTTTTCATCAACAGAATTCCGCAAAATGATGTATGAAGCTTTTGTAGGTTTTGTTATTAACTACAACATTTGTTAGAAATCCAAATCCGTATCTCTTATGCATGACGAACCAGAACAAACAGAATCCACTACTGTTTTTCAGTGAATGTATTTTACATTCACTGAAAAACAGTAACGAGCTCTAACTCGTGATGCATAAGAGATACAGATTTGGGTTACTGGCAAAAGTTGTAGCCAATAAAAGAACCTACAAAAGCTCCATACATCATTTTGCGGAATTCTGTTGATGAATAAAGTTAGGGGCAAATGAATGTAAATGAATGCATGAAATGAATGTAAATGATTTTCCATGCCTGCTCGTGGATAATAGACGAACTATGAAAGTGATGATGGTTTTAAAATTTTTCACGGAGAGGTATACGAGTGCAATCTTAAAATGCTTTTATTTTGTAAATGGAGCATTTTATTTAAATCTGGTTACTGCTACAGTGGTAGAAATGCTGAAATCTATGTATACACCTAAAAATCTGAAAATAAATTATTTTTTCTATATTGTATATCTATTGTGTAGTCCTTAAGTTTTCTACTAACGTAGCATCAACCAGATTTAAATAAAATGCTCCATTTGCAAATTATTAGCATTTTAAAATTGAACTCGTATACCTCACCGTGTAAAATTTTGAAACCATCATCACTTTCATAGTTCTTCTATTCTCCACAAGTACCAACTTTGATTTGCCAATTGATTTCTTCGCCAGTTAGTCGTCTGTCACTAACATGTTATAGCGCTATCTTGATGGTGGTTTCTGTGTTGCAATTATTTGACAACCATTATAACATGTTATAACTCTCCAGTATGTACAGCGTTTTAGCCATAAACCACTGTGTAAAAAAGCTCACTTTGTAGAAATTGTTTGACAGACGTACCAGTACTGACGTTTTGTTTTAAGCTTTTTGACAACCCCACTACCACAATAATAATAACGATTACCTTTGATGATTGCCTTGGTCAAAAGTACCAAAACAACTGCGCTTGCGCAGAACATTCGATTACTATATACCTACCCAATTTGCTTTTGAAAAGTATATCGAGCGCACATATTTTGTACAAGGGATATTTTTTTAATGAAAAACTCTATTTAAAGGGCAATAAAATAATTACAAGTGAAGTCGTGAAGTGTTCAGTGCGCTAAAACATAAAGCAACCTTAGCTGCTTTAATCTTAAGTGCATTACATAGTAATGCGGGACCTTGCGAATAAGATGGCAGAGCTCAAGTTTGAGGCCCCACTTGCTCAATGCGAGGAAACTGATGAGTGGGGTCCAGCAGAATATCATACATCCAACTCCAATATCACAAAAAAATCTGCCATCAATAATGCCGTAAACTTGAATAATATTCAAGACTCTATTAAGATGAAGGCAGAAATCAACGAAAGTGAAGTGCATGAAGTGAACTATAACACATTAAAAACTGCCGTGAAGAGTTCTAATGGAAATAACATCACTCTAAATAATGTGGATATGAACAACAAAATCAATATTATGAAGGATAATGTCGACAATTTTGCAGAAGGGTTCACGGGTAGCCTGGAAGATCTAGTCAATACGTTTGATGAAAAGATAACAAAATGTTTTGGAAATTACGAACAATCCGTAGAAGAATTAGCTCCAGTTCAAGTCAGATCGCAAGACGAAATTATGAGCGAATGCCAGTAAGTAGAGTAAATTTAGATCGATAATAGCTATTGCAATAAGTTTTCATCTCTGTCATCGGTGACTCATACGAAAAAGATATCCAATGTTGCATGCATATCGCTTATGTGACGTACCCATTCCAATCCACAACTGATTTGTAGGCCAAGCAAATTATATATAGTACAGTCATTCTCTTTTTTTATACGCGAGCTATCAACACTACTGGGCTAGTGCAAAAAAAAAAAATCGATAAGCCGATGGTGTATTATGGACAATGCATGGATTTATTTCGATTAACAATATAGCAACGTAGGATGGTTTTAACACATTCATTTCTCATCTTGTATAATTGCTCGGTGGTAACTAATTGAGCGGAAAATTAGGGAAACCTGGGACGGGTTAAAATATTAAATAATATTTTTGTATTTTGAAAGACATTAAATGACACGTATTCGTAGAGCACCATCACCAGTTCGATGTACACCAGGTGCCGGAGGTGACCAGTCAAGGAATCTTTCGGATTGTAGCATTTCTCGACTTTCATGAACATAAAGAATTTTTCGAGATGCACCATATAAAAATAACCAACAAAAGTCAAGAATGATGAAGAATTAGGTCGTTGCAATGCAGTTGTATTTTATGTGGTCTGTTTTACTTTCAAAATAGTACTTAGATGCAGAGCTTTTGTATTATTTTTCAAAAATTGGTTGGATCACATTCAGAACTGCACACATCGTTGTTCTTTTATCTTGAATCGGGTTTGGGAGATGTTGGGTACCGTAATATACCGAATACTGGTTGGTTTATTAATAAGGACATTTAATTTTTTAATCAATATTGTTTCCATTTTGCAAGTTAATAAATATGTGTGATGAACATGGTGATGCATGATACAGTAAACCCAACATAAAATTTACATGCTATTCTGAGCGGGGCCCTATCAAAAAGCGAAAACACTAAAGACAGACCATCTAAACTATATTACATAAGGCAAAACAGAACATTAGGCAAAAATTGAAAAAGCGGAATGAAACAAAACAATTTATATTTCTTTCCTTTATTTAACGTCGGTCTCTGTTCCGCAACCTTGTGCCAGTCACCGACGGTTATCGATTGACGGCAATCGAATGTGCAGGAAGGCAGCTTCCACACCTGCGTAGGATATCGCACCCATTCAACACACATGGGCCGGAACCAACGGCTTTACTTCCCTTCCGAAAGAAGACGTGACCAGAGATTTTTATGCCTCAGAAAAATCCCACCGATCTCGGCTGGGATTGAACCCAGACACATTGGGGTGAGAAAGCAGTCACGTTTACCACTACACCACCGCCGGCCTAATTTTTATCAAGATTTATGTTCTTTGAAAAAATATATAAAAATCACACACTTAGAAAAAAAATAAGGAAACTTAGGAACTTGAAAAAATTCTCATCATTCTGTGTCTTAAGAACATTTTCAAAATCTTATTTTAAGAAGAAATACTAGGATCCTGAACATAGTACTGATCGCCGGCAAGATGCTGGGACTTAAATAAATTTTATAAATTTTAATAAATATTTTAAGAATTGTGACTACGAAATTTTTTTTTTTTTTTTGTTGTGATCCAGTGGCAGCACTTGCTTAAACTCTACACTGGACCCCTTTTATTGATAAATTTTGCTTCTATGAGCCTCTATTTTAAATCAACACACAGACGTTCCTAGGCTATGGTGCCCGTTTGGTCACTGTTGTTTTTGTGCTGATCCAAATAGTTTTGATAATATAATTGCGCATTCTTTTTTTTTAAGTTTGATTTTTGTCCCAGTCTTGTCTTCTGTCGTCACTTATTTTGTCATTTTGTATTGTGTATTAACCCCCACTTGTCTTGTTTATTGTGTCAACTTGTGTCTATTGTACTTCCTACTCTGTCATGACTAATTTCATTGATATATAAAAATAGTAATATCAATTACAGGATAATATGGTTATTTCTCGATTACTTTTTCAAAGGGAAGCACCAGCTCCTGCAAACAATGCATCCGATCGTCGATCCGGCGCAACCGGCAGCTCGCACACGCTTATCAACACCGCCAGCAGGTAGAGGAAAATTTCCCCTATCTGATGATAGTGCCAGCACGCGCGGGCGAGCCACCAGTTACGCCAAATCGACGACCAAACGCACCGCCTACAAAAGCCGATACGCTCCCTTGAAAAAGTTATCGAGATTTCTACTAATTAATGAATTATTGACAATTACCTCTCATGATCCTTGGCTCTGATTTTAACTTACCACTTTTTGATTATTTATCAAATACCTCTCCCAGAATATATAACTCCCCGATGCCTTGTTGGTTTCTGGTCTCATTTGGATTGGTCCTGAATTTGTTTGACATCCTGTTCGAAGTAATTCTTTGAGTTCCAGCTTGTACGTGTCTCACGTCATATGATTTGCCATTCATAAAGATAATGGGTTAAAAGGGAGTAAAACATACATAAAGGTAGATTAGTAGTAGTTGTACTTGTCCCAAACAATAGAAAGAAGCATAGATGACTTAGTAGAAAAATAAAACAAATATATAACTAAAAGTGCAATGGATAAGTGTTAGTTCCGGGATCATTTTAGTGTTAGTAGTTATGTTAGTTTTGATCCGTATTCAGCCCTGCCGGATGCGGGGGTCCGCTTAGGGAGGCAACTAGCCTTTAAAGTTATAGAATAAATCTTCCTATTTAGCTAAATAAGAAAACGCAAGCAGACCAATAGCATTACTCAGCTTAACAAGGAGAGGAATAGTTTAGGAAATAAATAAAATTAGAGGTATGTGACAATTAATAACTTTTATTCTTTTGTAGGTATTGTTTTCTCTTGAGTTTATTGTACTCGATTACTATATTATTCTCTCGTAATACGCGAAATCTTTAATATATGCGGTTAAAGCATTTGAGTTAACTTATTGCTTAGTGTTCAAGTACTTACAGCAGTCAATGTTAATCTATGAACTAAACCCTACTTGACTGTAAAATCGATCTTTCCTTATGTGGTATTGATGCATATTTAACTTCTCGCGGCTGTCGGAATCAACGCGTCTACGTCTACGGAGCTTACGCAGAAGTGATTCGCAATTCGGTAGAGCTTACCAAAAGGTTTTTTTTTCTTATGTAATTTAGAATTTGTTCGGTACGGTCGCGAAAGGTTGAAATGATTGATACGTGCCGTAAAATAACTAAACTGAAACAAAGCTCAATAGTTAAATAAGTAGAATATCTAGGGAGGAAACCAAAATTAAAAACTTGCCAACATAGACTATCACATTTTTTTTGGTGGCACTCTTTAAATGATAATAAACCTTTTTTCTCGCTTCGGTTGTCTCGCACGGCTTTCGGAATTCGCGCGGTTTTCGGAACTTACATAATTTAGATATTTCGTTCGAAACGGATTTACTTATTCAATCGGTTTACTACGCACACACGTCACAGCATTTCTTTTCCATAACTATCTTGAAACAATACACACGGAATCCAGTGTTCTGATTCAAAGCAGAACAGAACTCTTAGTAATGAATTCTAAATAACTCATTCAAATTTCAAACTATTTCCAGCTTACATATTCCATATCATTTTGTAGCATCGTGGCCATCTCAATCCAAAAAACATCCAACCACCTACCTCAATCTAATCATTATCCCTTCCCATGGCGATCATGTAGCCTGCATGTGGCGAGTCAGCCATTACCCCTCCTTTACTATCGGCCTTGGATTGACTTGCGCTCTTACTGCCCCACCCTGCGCTGCAAAATGAAAATGAAAATGAAAGCTTTGGAGATTCTTATACCCCGTACAGACTTTGGCTTATATCATGTAATATAGGCTGTCTTGCAATGAGCACTCATACATAGGATTTCTAGTAAAAACTAGATGTATGAGTGCTCATTGCAAGACAGCCTATGTTACATGAAATAAGCCATAGTATATACGGGGTATTAAACGTTAATTTACAATCTTCTATGTGCAAAGACTGTAGGGTAGGCACTGAGGCAAAATCACATGAAGCTAATTAAAATTAGTCGGAATTTTCGAATCAGCAGAGCAAACGACCGGCCGAATGGTCTAAGATCTAAATGTTATCAGGTGATCAATAAAAGATACTCCAGATATTTCACCAGGAAAAATGCCGTCTTCCAGAAGTAATCACAAAGACCACAATTTTTTTTTCCAAAAGGTATTGAATCTTGTGCGAAGTGGAAACATTTATGACCAATCAATATTGCATCGGGTGGCCACTGGAAAAATGGCCAATCCCAGCAAGTAGTCTAGGAAATCCGAGATTGTTGAGAACAAAGTGGCAATATCCCGTCACTACATCAATTATGTTAAGGCATAGTAATGTTGTGAATAAGGAAATTAAATAAATTATTGGATTTAACTGATAAGAATCGTTCCATGGGGAAGGGCTGAGGTATCTGCCTTGAGCGTGCAGGCAAAAAGCGTTATAAGCGTTAAACGAGAGAGAGCGAAAAATGACTAATAGCAACAATCAATAAGAAACTAACGATTTTAAATTGGCTCAATACTTGACTAGCCTATTGGTCCCAAGCAAATCGCCTAACGTACCCCATAGACGAGTGCACGGATGGATTTGAGTTCACTCACTCGACAAAAAGTGACACAACAGTGGGGCCCTGTTTACTAAAAATGAGCACATGAATAATACTCACGTACCATTTGAAACGGGTCTGTCAATTTAAGTACACAAAACTTCTAAAGCCTTTTCGCGCGAACCGAATACGCTCACGCAAACTAACAACACCATCGGGCAGAGGAAATTCTCCCCTTCCCGATAGTGCTCTTGGTTTGCGTGGGCGTACTTCGGTTCTCGTGAAAAGGACCTACACACTCAATTTTTTTCGCCGAGATTCCAACAGCCGAGTAGTTCTGCAATTTAGTTTGCTGAGGTTCAGTAAAATAATTGCCGAGACTCAGCTAACAAATATCATTTTGCTGCGATATCAGCTAACAAACATATATTTTGCAGGTATATC